ACGCTTCAAAGCATTCTTCAAATATGTATGTAACAAACTAATGCATAAAAAGGCAATGTTATAGATTGCTATATAATGAAATGAAATAAATTTTCTCTACTCAACATCAACTGTTATGTTTCAATTCCTACCTTGATTATTCTTCATTATTTCTACCATGATTTAAAAATCAGAACTAGTCGATTGATTTGACCCATTTAATTGCGGATCAGTAATTTTGAGCGCGCCATTTGGTCGGTTCGATCGCACAAAAATTATTTTTGCACATAACAAATAATAGCATGTTAACATTGGAGAGCTTGTGAATTGTTCGGATTTTTTATGAACCAGCTAGTTCAAATATAGATCAATGTTTAGCCTATCAAACTTGATCAATTGAATGTAGTAAAAGATTTATAAGTTTTAGTAAGTTTGACCCTTTTACAATTTATATTTATTGAACTTTTTATTGAATACTATTGTTCTCTTAAGTTGAATATATTTTATTACAAAAAAATCAAAATATCATATCCCAAAATTTTTCATTTACAAATATATATAAAATATTCAACATTGAAGTGTCCTAATTTAGAAAATTATAAATTTGATCAATGAAAATATTATGATTGCATCATTATTATGTCATTCAAGTCATCTTAAAACTATTTTAATATTTATTATGTTATTCAATTCAATCCTTAGTTTGAATCTAGTTGAACATTTGAATTTGAAAACTCTAGTTCAGTCCAATTTCGAATCTCATCTTGGAAATATTAATTTTTATATTTACTTTAATTTTATCATCAATAAATATTAAAAGAGACATCATCCCAACTCTCTCGGTTGTTTGAAAAACAAGCATTGAATTATTTTTTCAAATGAAAAAAATTTTAAATATAGCATACTTTTCAAATAAACTTATATCTAAATTATAAATTTATTAATATTTGATTGGATGTTTTAATTATTTTATCAAGCATACATTTAAAATTGAAAAAAAAAGCATAAAATGATACATTTTTAAAATTTTAAATTTATTTTAAATATTCATACATTTTATTAATCTTAAAAATAAGTTAATCAATTTTAAATTAAAAAAAAAAGAATTTTAAATTTTATTCTTGTTAAAATTTAATAAAATATGTGGACTCAAAATGTTTAGATAAATGCATCAATCTTATGAGGCATGTAAAATGATCACGTGTGGATAAGAGGTGGCAGGCCGCGGGTCCTAATCCTAGTCAGCAGTGTGTGGATCCGAGTCATAGCGCACCTTTGCGCGTTTGAACGTAAATTGTATCAACGTAAGCTTTAAAGTTATTGTATTTACTTTTAGATTACTATTTCAAACGAAAAGTTTATATTATATTAATTTAAATAATAAATATAAATTAAATAATTTTAAAACAATTATAATTCAATTTGTATGCTAACATTTTTACACAATTTTGCTAGCTCAACTTCACATTCTTTCCTAAAGAAAAAAAAAATCTTGGTCCATATATTTTGCGGGCTTATTATTATTAGATTGATGTCGTTAGAAAATTCATTAGATTCAACATAAAATTTGAGATAATATTCAAATTAAAAATATATGGAATCAAATTTAGAAACAATCCAAATTATATTTCAACAAATTTATAGTTGAATTAAACTTCAGGATAAGATAAACCCCGTTGACACACAGAATGATCATATTTGATTCTTAATAAGTATTAATCAACCACCCGAAGTATATTTTAAATTTTTGAGATATTAATTGGATGAACAATTGAATTACAATTCTTTTATGATTATGACAAATTGAACGTTGTAACGAGAAAATTCAAGGAATCCAAAATTAATTAATTCCAATACCATAAAAGCCCTTGGACGTTGAATGAAAGTTCTATGATTAAATGAATTAATACAAGTTATTTGATCGAGTGTTCTGAATTTTGTGTATATTATCCACATAAGACATCACTCTCAAAATATAAAAATAATATATTATTCTTGTTATGTGTTAGAACATTTGACTTGGTATATTATATATTTTATGCCTCGGCGTTGTACAAAAGTTCAACAAGCACAGATAAAAAAAGTAAGACCTGAAAATTTTTACATGAAAATCCGGAAAGCCAAAAAATCATTGGGCTTGAATCGGTTGAAAAATTCACTATATAATAAGCAATACAAAAATCTTTCTTTCTTCACTATTAAAGAAGAAGGGGATTAAACAAGCTTCTAATTTTTCCTTAGGGGGATTGTAGAAATCAAGTGTCAATGGACAATTAACATTCAATAATATGGCTTGATTTCTCCAATAGAGAGTATAAAAGTAAGTGCCCACAAGCGGTCAACTATGTTTAATAGCATGATTAAATATTGTCACATTCATAAAATAGTGGAGATTTTTTATGCTAATCATCAATGGTGATGATGGTAATCGGTGGCAATAGCTGGTGGTTGTCATCAACGAAGATAGATAAAAAATGCAAGTGAACTCTCTCTATTCTTCTCCTCCCTCATACATTTATATAATTACATTCCAAAACACTTCATCTTACGACCCATATTGATTCTGTTGATCACAAAATATTTATTAACTATTTACGTGCTTTAAATATGTCTAATTTTTTGGATTTGAGTCGTCAAGCCGCTCGATTCAATAACAAGCAGTGTCTAATTTGGAGATCGTTGATCAATGCAATAATATTTGAAGTTGTACAATCAGACTGTGAAGTGTTTTTGATTAAAGCTAGTTTAGAAACCTTTTGTGCTAGTGGAAGTTTATTCTTCTTTGAGAAACTTTAATTCAAACTTTGAACTTTTGAATCGGAGGTTTCACAATATTTGAATTTAATTTTAAAAATTTTCAATCTAATTTTGCGCTCAAGATTTGTGTTGAGTCGTGGTAGTTTTTTTTTAGAAGTATCAATAATCTTTAATTATTATTATTATTATACATTTTAAAATATTATTATATCTCAAATTTTGAAGGGTGATTGAATAATGGTTGCTGGAATCGCTAAGATATTATGAGGTTTCACTAGCTCATGCTTGGCTCGTGTAGCGCGTTAAATAAGAACTAATAATTTGAAATTGGCTCATGACACCCTTAGAAGTCATAATTTAATATGTAGAACTTAAGGGCAGGCAGCTACAGTAAAACAAATTGCCTTCAATAATAATTTACTAAAATTTAGACGAACAAATAATGTTATATTTGGAACAATTTTTATTAATATTTAAAAATATATTTTAGATAAAAATGTTAATATTAAATTTTTTTGCTAAAAATTGACTTTAAAAATAATAAAACTGTCTAAATCAAATTTAATGCTCGTCTTCCTTCACTATTTTCATGGGCTCTTTATACACATTTGGAGCTTTTGTATTGTATTTTTGTCCTCCATAAGCGTAAGAAACTACCAGATTTGTTGGAAATGAAGGGCCCAGCGCAATTTTTGGATGCGCTGACCCATGTTCTTTACACGCTGTCAGTCATCAAAAGGCCCATTTTTCAATCTGACAACGATCAAGGTGTTGCATTCCAATACTTTCTCTCATAATTTGAAGAAAAATTTATTAGGGTGCAGCGGTGTGAAGTGTTCTGGAGGGTCAATTCACAATTTATCACATCATCTCAATGCAGAGTGCATTGAATGATGTGGGGGCGTCCTGATTAAGCCTTCGAGCGTATTCGGAGCGCGCATAGAATAAATCTCTTAATTTTGAAGATGGAGTAATGTGATGAATTTAACCAACTTTTTTAAGAAGATTAATTGAATCTTGGTTTTAATGAAAGTAGCGTCATTAATCAAATCACGTTTTCGTAAGTAATTTTCAGTATTAAAATTTAGGCTAAACATTAAAAACTTTATATATAATTTTGGTAGAAAGTTGTTTTTAATGTAGGGTTCAATCCCAATAAAATAAATTATTTTTAATTAATATAATAATAATTATAATTAGTATATATATATTAATTATATATAATAAATATATATATATATATAGTATATAGTATATATATATATAGATATATTTGTAATAAATATAGGCCAAAATTTTGGTTTAGAAAAGTGGGTGTGGTTCTTACCTGGTCAGCGTTAAAATCGCCAAGTAAAACAAAGAAAACATAATTTTTTAACTTAATAATGAATAATAATAATAATTAGATAAATAATAATATAAATATAAGAATATAACTATATTATATAGTATATTTTAAAACCTATTAAATTATAATAATTTAAATGTTAGTATATTTATGAAAAGAAACATGACAAAATAAAAGAAAAATTTAATAATTTTTTTATGAAGATGATTATGAACAGAGGCATAATCAACTTCTCTTTTAAAGATGAATAAAAATAAATTTTGAAAATATATAATGTTTATGTATGAAATAAAAATTTTATTTTATAGTATTGTGAGCAATGTACATATTTTAAAAGAGGGCAAAATAATTAAAATATTTTTTTTTTTTAGAAAAAAAATTATGAATTGATGATTGCTCATTATGAGCTCTTATTTGTTCCACCTCTGATTATGAAGTTGCTATAGCAAAATAATTTTTTAAAAGATAATGTCCATATTATTATATTATAAATGGATACTTTTTTAAAAAGTACAGTAAAATGGTTAAAACTAAAGTTTCGTTTAGAACAACTTTCTTACTGCTTCTTAAAATAATTTTTTAGTACTAAAAAAAATTTGTACTAAAAATTTGTTTTAAGAAATAATAAGAAAGCCGTTCCAACCAAGACAAAAATAAAATAATCATGAAGTTGTTAAATAATTTCTAAGAATGTAAAAAAAAAAAAGAATAAAAAAAGAATAAAAATAATGTAAAATATATAGAATTATATGTTACACTTATTCTATTTATACCAAATCAATATGCTAATAAATCAAATATTTGTAATTTGTGGGTGAATTAATGGAGCAATACGCAATACCTAAAAAATTTCCAGCGTGATCCTGTATAGTCAATGCAGTTTCCCTGCTAGGCAACAAAAGCCAAAGCAACAAAGCCACGCAGCACTAGTGACCTCACCCTTTGGAAATCCCACGCGCCAGATTTCCCCGACCAGCAATGGTCGTCGTCTTTTTAAAGTTTTAATCGACGTTGAAAGAGAGAAGTAATTTAAAAGCGACTGAAATGGATCTCCCAGATGCGACACAGACGAGGTCTGAAGGCATCGGAGGGTCGGCGATGGAGAGCGTAGGAAGAGATATGAAGCCGGAGATTGCTACGGCGACGGCTCCTATGAAGCGGGAAGAGGAGGAGGAGGAGTTTGGCGGCACTCTTGGTCTTGCTCTCTGTGGAGGCGATGGCAACAACAGGTTTGCCTATTTTAATTTAAGATTTGGGCAGCCAACTTTTGATTTCGGTGGAACGTCCCCTGGTTCGGCCGTGCTTTCATTTGATCTGTAAATTTTATCAATTTTAAGTTCGAGTCTGAATATTGTGGAGCAAGAAAAGGGCGAAAGTGGGTACGGGCTTTTAGATATCCGTGATTCCGTTCTTTTTAACTGAAGGCGAGGAACTGTTCGCTGCACGATCTGTTCATGTTAGGGCAATCTATTCTTCTTTCGTTTTGAGTTTGATAGAAAACTATCTTCACGAGCTTGCGCTTTACCCCTTCGATTCCTTTGATTTTTGAAAGTTATTTGGGTGATTAAAGCGTTCTTTCTCTGCAATCAAGGTAATCAGTGGCCCGACTTTCCTTTTTTAAAGGATTAGGACATAGCTTTTTGCCCGTTGTTTATTTTTTCAGTTTTTATTTGATTTGGATAAAAGATTTCATTCCTGCCGACTGAGAGGTATACAGATTTGGATTTGTTTCAATCGAAGATATTTCTTTCTATACTTGGTAAAGTTTTGGAGCACTAACATGTTTTACTCCATTGAATGTTTCGATCTCGGCTCTTCTGAAGTACTTCTGCAATGAATAACCCTAGCGCCAGCGCTCAGCTCACCATTTTCTACAATGGATCTGTGAACGTATTTGATGCTGTTCCTCCAGAGAAGGTCCTCTCTCTCTCCACCCCCTCGTTTTACTCTCAGTTTTGCTGTTCCATGGCTGACTGCCACCATTTGAGAAGATCAGGCGCAAGCGATCATGCTTATAGCTGCTGCGGCCGCAGCAGCAGCGGCTTCCTCTGGAAACAACACGAGCGTGAGTAGGGTTCCGGCCGTGGTTGGCCCAAACACAGCTGCCGCTGCTTCGCCTGCTCTAACGAGGTCTCTTTCACAGCAGAGCTCTTCAACAGCTGCTTCTTCTCAGCCACCTCAGCTTCTCACAAAATCTTCTCCGTATCTTTGCAAGCTTCAAACTGGTTAGCAAGATTCTCTTTAATTTCCTTCAAAGCAGTTTCTTTTAGATACATAGATTTCCCCCCCATTTCCAATCCAGTCTGAATGCAAAGTTGTTCTTCTCATGTGAGTGCAGAGCTCCCAGTAGCGCGGAGACACTCGCTCCAGCGATTCCTTGAGAAGCGCCGGGACAGGTAATTTAAAGCTTAAAATATCTAGTTCCATTGTTTTTCTTTGATTATAGGATAATGACCAATTTACGTATTAACAAGTAATAGGGCCTTAAAACTGCATGTTTTGAAATTTCTAAAGATCTACTCGCATGAATTTATTTTTGCTGCTATTTCTTGCTTGGCATAGGTTATAAGATTATGCAGTCACCATGAAATTCAAATGCTTCTTATTTCAAGAAATCCTAAAGCTTGGAAGAAAGAAAATGCAATTTATGTTTGTCTAAATGCAATGGGTAACTCTCTATGCTGACCGCTATGGTCCATCCAAGCTTAGTTGTTGCAGTTCAAATGATCTTGGTTTGAAGGTTCTGGATTAATTAGGAGCATAGTGCAAAATTTCGGGTAAATTCCTATGTTAGAAAGGCATAATTCCATTATAAATTAAAGTTACTAGGCTGAACCCTTAAAATAAAGTAGTTCTTTATGAAGCTATCTACAATATTAGTTGAAAGCTATAATGGGTAATGTGTCATGCTTTTTTTTTTTTTGAGACATTTGAGCCATTAAATCAAACTCACACACACATCACGGATGCGAGCTATGAATTCAAGACCTACTAGTATCCAAAGCCCCTAAGGGCCCCAACCAACATACCAAGATGAGCTGCATCAGATGCGCTAAAAATAATATAACTTCTTTAGTTAGCTTTCTTAATGGCCACAAAGGAAGTGATGCATATTTATCATCAATAATATCCACACAGATTTTAAAGGCGCATATGTAAAGTAGTTGAAAAGGTATGAATAATGAAAGTGTAAATAATTTTTTTGATTGAAAATATTTTTGGCTTGTAGTCCATGAAAAAAGTAAATAAAGCAGTTTTTATCAAATGTTGACTGATTAATAGGTTCATAGGTGTTCCATCCTTGACGTTGAAATATAGAAGTAAATCATTTTATGTCCTTTAAAATCGGGCCTATGTTACCAAAATACAGGCTTGTTTATCAGGCACTTGCGCTTAGAGTGTCTATAATGTTGAAATATACATACATATATTGATTTATAGTTATCTATCAAGTTTTGACTTCATTGGAGGAAACAGTCAAAATGAGGCGTGTTAACTCGTCTGTATCCTTATCGTAAATGCCACATTGGTTAGATGAACAAATTCTACTTGTATGCTTACGCACGTAGGCATCAGTCTATGCTGATGTGGCAATCCACATCACCTGCAACGTGTCCAGGGGTTATATATCCACATCACCTGCAACATTTGTCCTGGGGTTATATATCTATCAATTTGCTTTATTAATCGAAAGAATCTGATCGGTTAAAATAATCCTTTGGACGATTAAATTTTTTTCTTGACCTTTAATCCACAAAATGGGGGAAATCTGAATCACGCATAATGGATTTAGATAAGGGCTGCAGTAAAATGAAAATCAACAAGAAAAACCTCTTCTGACGAATTTGTGTTATGAGGCCAGACAGTTTTATGCAATGTCGCTATAATTGCATGAAATTATAGTGTCCGCCATTGGAATTTTTCCAAACAGTACGATATTATTTATACTTTCCTGATTGGACACACTCCATCTAACTCGCCTCCTCTTTCTTTACTTTTTAATCTTTTTTCTTACTCTAAGTTTTAATTTTTCATGCCACTGTAACTTCTCACAGATCAATGAAAATGGGCTATGCCAGTAAATTTTCCGAAAAAATAAAAATAAAAACTTATTAACTCTCATACATTAGTATGCATAATTACAAGAAGTGACCTTTCACCACAAAAAGTTAAAAAAAAAATAGTAAGAAACAAATGGGCACCATTTGCTCCTACACGCCACCTTTGCTGTCTATGGGGATCCGTTGTAGGGCTGATCCATATGATTTTTAAAAGGAGTTGACACGTTTAACTCATTTTACCTTGTGATCCATTCTCTTCCCTCATCTGTAAGCCCCCAGACCCATTGATTCATAGGAAGAGGAGACCTTTTTGTACTTCTCCATAATCTAGTGGAATTATCTTTCTTCTTTCTGCATGTTTGACACAAGCCACTTAGTAAAAAAACTTAAATCCATGCACTGGTGATTGTGTTATGATGATATGCATGAACTGGTCCAAGAGGTATCGGTCCAGCCTGAAGAATTGCAGATGAAGATCAGCTGCTGTACTTGCAAATAATATTACAAGCAAGAAAAAGAAGAACAGTAACATAATGGCTAATGGTATTTCATTTCTCTGAGTGCACCCTGTTTACAACAATGCTCATATATAGATACAAGGCTTGCCACGTGTAGGGCAGATATGGTGTTGGTTTGTTATGCATCAAGGGTGATTACGCCTCTAGTTTGTTGCTGTCAGGTAGTGGAAATGTGCTCTAATACCCCCCCGCCTCCCCGCGCAAATTGATGGGTCAGGTTGAACCGTCAATTTGAATCGTAGCTGTTGAAATCTTGTTGTAGACAGCGGTTTGGTGAAGATATCAGCAATCTGATCCATCGTGCTGATTGGTGTTAGAATGATATATTTAGCTTGAATATGATCACGGATGAAGTGATGATCGATTTCAATCTGTTTAGTCCGGGCATGAAGAACCGGATTGTTTGCAATGGCTATAGCTGACATGTTATCACAGTAGAGAGTAGTTGGCTGAACTGTGGAAATATTGAAGTCATTTAATAGTTTCCTAAGCCACAGGATATTTGCAGTAGCTGCTGCAATGGCACAGTACTCAGCTTCCGTTGATGATCTAGCAACCGTGTGCTACTTCTTTACGCTCCATGATATAAGAGTTGATCCAATAAATGAACAATAGCCCGAGGTGGAGTGTCTTGTGATTGGATCACTTGCCCAGTCCGCATTGGACTTTGCCATGAATTGAAGAGGTCCCTTGCTGATAGGAAGTCCGAAATGAGCGGTGCCTTGGATATATCTTAGCAGCCTTTAAGTAGATGAAAATGTATCGGTTGTGGATTATGCATATGTTGGCAAAGAACATTAATCGAATAGGCTATGTCAAGTCTAGTTATGATGAGGTATTGAAGTGATCCGGTGAATTATTTGTAGCTGAGGGGATTATGGAGAATTGGATCAGAGAAGGGTGCGGTGCTTAATTTGGTGGAGTTCGGGTTTGACAGGGGTTTACAGGAGCTAAGGCCAGCTTGATGAAGAATAGATTTAGCATTGTTGCTTTGAGAAAGGAAAAGAGAATTGGCAGTTGTGTGAATTTGGATGCCCAGAAAATGGCTGGCTGTACCAAGATATTTCATAGTGAATTGTTGGCTGATTTGGTGGATGAGACTGGAGATGGTTCGCGGATTGTTGCCTGAAAGAAGTATGTCATCGACATAAATGAGGAGATAAATTTGAATGTTGGATTGAGAGAAAGAAAAGAGAGAGTGATCGGATTGACTTTGTTTAAAGCCGTAAGATATGATATAGGAGGAAAATTTGTGGAACCATTGGCGTGGAGCTTGTTTGAGACCATAAATGACCTTTTTGAGTAGACATACATGAGATGGATAGAGAGTATCCTCAAATCCTTTGGGCTGAGTCATACAGACTGTTTCATGGAGATCTCCATGTAAGAAAGCATTAGCCACATCCATTTGATGGATTGGCCAATTGTGAGTGAGAGCAATAAGAAGAAAGACTCTAATAGTCGGCATTTTGGCTACCAGACTGAAAGTGTCATGGTAGTCTAGCCCATGCTCTTGACGATGACCTTGGGCCACAAGACGGGCTTTGTGACGAGCTATGGTTCTATTTGAGTGGTATTTTGTACGATATGTCCAGCGAGATCCTAGAACATTCGCATTTGGAGGGGCAGGGACGAGTAGCCAGGTCCCTTATTGTTGTAAGGCTAGGAATTTTAAAGCAATGACTTCCCTCCATTGTGGAAGTTTGACAGCTTCTGAATAAGAATGGGGATCGGGAAGAGTTTGAGGTTTTGGCTGTAGTTTGTGGAGGAGATTAAGTAGAGTCCTTGGTTTGAGAGTGCCTGTTTTAAGACCGGTGATCATGGGGTGATGTACTGGGACAGTGGGTATTGGGGAAATGCTAGAGGAGTCGGGTGAAGGGGAGTGCTGAGGTAAGGATGGGGTTGATTCTGTGGAGCTGACAGTAATAGGAGGTGGAGTGTTTGGCTGTAAGATGACTGGCCGAGGAGGTAGTGTGGAGGTAGGGATAAGCAATGATGGATTTGCTGGAGATACAGGGGCATAAGATTGAATTGAGGTGGTTGTGAATGAGTTTGATAGAGGAAAGATGTCCTCATCAAAGGTCACATGCTGTGAGATGATGATTTTATTGGTAGATAGATTGAGACATTTGTATCCTTTATAGGATTCATAGTAACCCAGAAAGAGGCATTGTGGAGCTCTGGGCTCTAGTTTGTGGCGCTGTGAAGGTGGTAGCCATGGATAGCATGCACACCCAAAAGTTTTAAGATAAGAATATGTCGGTTTTTGGTGATAGATGAGCTCAAAAGGAGATTTGTTTTGTGTGGTAGTTGAAGGCATTCTGTTTATGAGGTGGACAACCGTGAGAGCGGCATCCGGCCAGAAGTGATATGGAAGGTGGGCGGTATGTAGTAAGGTGCGAGTCGTTTCAATGATGTGGCGGTTTTTGCGCTCAGCTGTGCCATTTTGCTCCGGAGTATATGATCATGAGATTCTTTGATGTATGCCACTGGTTTGAAGAAATGACCGAAGTTCAGAGTTCATAAATTCAGAACCACCATCTGTTTGGATGCATTTAATTTTGTGGGGAATCTGATTTTCAATAAAGACTTTGAATTGAATTATTATTTTAGGAACTTCGGATTTGGCACGTAGCATAAATATCCATGTAAAATGACTGAAATCATCAATGATAAGAAGGTAATATTAATAGCCTTGATTTGGGATAGTTGGGGATGGACCCCATACATCAAGATGAAGTAAAGCTAAAGGAATTACAGTAGACTTTGTAGATGTAGGAAAAACTAATTTATGGCTTTTGGCAGCCTTACAAACAG